TCCAGGGGATCCAATGCCCTCTCTCTTTTGGTCTCTGCAGGCACCACATACCACACATGGACAGAGGCACACAGATACACACTGAAAGAAAAAAGCTGGGCATGGTGGCACACACCTTTAATACCATCACGTGGGTAGCAGGAAAACTGGACTTGGTGGCCAGTCTGGCCTACACACACTGGGTTCTAGGCCAGCCAGCACTGAAAGTGAGAACTTCTCTCCCACAAACAAAACAAGTAAGTCCACAAAGTACCCACGTGGGCAACATCTAAGCCACACAGATCCTGGAAAAGGGAATGGCAGTACTTATAATTCCTATGGTGAAAGTCAAACAATGTTAGCATCTTATCAAGTCCACACCTACCTGCTCAACAAGTCTCCACAAAAAAATAGCATAAGTCCAAGGAGGAAAATAAGGAAGAGTTTGGGGTCAAATCCTGAAACAAATGAAATGTTTGTTTAATAGAAGAACCAGTTAAAGGTATTATAAAAGGTGACATTAGTATTACTGATCAACTACAGTAAAGCAAAGAGCCCAATTAAATGCAGTAGAGATATCACACAAATTCTGGGCACTCTTCCAAAGAGAAAACATTGTTAGGTTTCTGTCTAACTTGTACCTTCCTAAATATCTTATTTTGATTTTGGCTTCCTCTACTAAGGATTTAAAAAAAAAAAAAAAAAAAAAGGAACCACTGGACTAAGCTAAACAGGACGTCATCATCACCTCATACAGTCACAAAACGTTTACCAGGCTTTTTCTTTCTGGCTGATCAGCTCACTATTAGACCAACCAGGTGCCTTAGGCAGGCAAGGTAAAACAGATACAACACATCTTCACATAGTTAAACAAATGCAGCATAAACAAAAGCAACACACCTTTACACAGTTAAAGTCTGCAGCCTAAACAAATGGAACACATCTTTGTCTAGTGAGTCATGATCCCCAACAACATACACATCAGTAGAGCCCGAGAGTAGGACAACTGGACAGGCATAACCTTTTGATCGCAAAACCTATAAGCATGAACCCTGAGCAGTAACCAAGGGGACACCAAGTCAGGATTTGATGGTATCTACTGCCTAAAACTCTCAGATGCCTTCAAGGAAGGAAAAACTTTTCCCATGTCCAGCAAATAAGCCTTAAACTGTAGTGTCTTCGTCTTTAATCTGATTCCACAAGCACTCTTGTGAATTTACTAGTTCTACTGTTCACTTTTCCTGTCTTCAAATACAGACCTGAACATAGTCAAGAAGTCCCCAGAAGGCATAGATACAATGTCTGATAGACTCCAGCAGTGCTGACCATATCAACTGAGGACCTGCCGATTCTAGGCAATGAGTTACTGAGCTAGACTCTAGGTTCTTTTTTCTTTTTTTGGTTTTTCGAGACAGGGTTTCTCTGTGTAGCTTTGCGCCTTTCCTGGAACTCACTTGGTAGCCCAGGCTGGCCTCGAACTCACAGAGATCCGCCTGGCTCTGCCTCCCAAGTACTGGGATTAAAGGCGTGCGCCACCACTGCCCAGCAAAGGCCTAGAGTCTCATGTGTGGTGGATTCTCCATAGCTGGTTAGAGCCATGGTATAGTCAAGTTGGTAATCAAAACTAAAATGGAGTTGTCTTGGACTGACTTCTCTGTCTAATTATACCCTCCAAAGCTCTGTCCCAGCTCATTATAGAATCCATCAGAAAAACCAAGGTGAGACTTACTCCGGGTCACAATGACACTGTATTTGGTGTCCTTCTCTATAATCTCAACTTTGAGGCAGGTTTTTGTGCTGTACAGACCCACGTTAACATAGGTGTCATTCAATTTCTCTTTTAGAAAGGAAGAAAAAAAGTTCCAGATACTAAACTGCTCTAGCTCCTTCAGCTTCTCCTCATTGTCCACCTGGGTGACTCGGACCAATTTGGAACTATTTACCCGGACCTGTAACACAGACAAAATTAGGATGAAAAGAAAGAAATTTTCATAAACATAATTTTAAAAACCCTTACTGGAAATATACAGAGGCAGCAAAAACATGATTTGGAAAATGACGCTGCTCTAACAGAGGCAGCTGCCACAATTTCTTGTTAACATTGTCTGAATCACTATTAGGCCAGCAAAGGGGGGTGGGGTGGGGAGGAGATCCCAAGCAGAAAGAGTATCAATACAGCTATTTACGCATGAGCTCATACAAAGCAAGGACCTGGAATATTAAGAAAATTGCCAGTCATAAACAGACCCAGAAAACTGAAAATGTTTCCATAATGACAGGCTGAGACGTTGTCACAAATCACTGATTAGGGATAAATGTTGGTTATAATGTGCCCCAGATACAGTATGAATTTTGTATCAGAAAATTTAAAAAAGTTTACAAGCCTGCCAGCCCAGCTCTCACGTGTTGGTGAGAACAGCACACACCCTCATCAGTGTCCGTTGTGGTACTGCAGTTACTGCAGCACCTCCACAAGGCTCGCTTTGTGCAGTCACTGCTACAGCCAAAAACTCTTCCGACAGTGCTAAGTAAGAGTCCAAAGTCATTCTACCCAGGGGAAACTTCTCTCAGAGTCAAAACAGAACGAGAGCCACAAGACAAGAGTTTACATTCAAACAGGCACACCAGATTCCAGCCCAAAGAAGGCACAAGACATTTCAAAAGAGGCCTGAGTGTGCACAGTGCAGAGAAGAAGGACAAGCGTTTCCCTCAGGATCACACTGCCCTCAGCTGGGAAAGGGAGCCGAGACACCCCAGAGGGCTTCCACTTACCTGTATCCGTGTCCATATATCATACCACTTTGGGATAAGCACGTTTTTATAACAGAATTGTTGATTGGAATTCATATCAACTTGGGACTCCTGAAGCATGACCACATTTACATCAATTCCAGCTTCATGCAAAAAAAAAAAAAAAAGGGAAATAAGAATTAAGTAGAACATAACAGAGTGAGCTCATAACCATAACTCATATTATAAAAAGAATTAAACTGACCACTTTACTAAGTTTGGGCTTAAAACATGAACCAGACCAAAAAAGAAAACCTGAGATGAAAGAAATAAAGAAATAAAACACTTTTATCTCTGTCCAATTTGTGTGTGTGCACACACTCACTCACATGTGTGCTTGCTTATGACTGACTAGAGGATATTAAATACACTAAACATATGCTGTCATGACTTACACTCAACTTTTAATTATCTATCACAGATAGTTAATATTAACTCAGAAAAATAATACAAGCTACTTTTTAAGTTTTATTTTATGTGTATCTATGTTTTACCTGTGTGTGTGTCTGCTCACCACATGAGTACAGTGCCCAGAGGGGATGTCAGATCCCCTAGAACTGAAGTCACATGTGGTTCTGGGCCCTAGGAACCAAACCCGGATCATTTGCAAGAGCAGCCAGTGCTCTTAAGTGCTGAGCCATCTCTCCAGCCCCTAAGAACTACTTCTAAGTGTTTCTTTACACAGAGAAAGCTGTCTGCTTCCCTTAACCCTCCCAAGAACGCTATGTGGTAGGCATTTTCCTAATCTCTATTTTACAAACAAGGAAACTGATGTCTAAGGAAAATTCATTCCCAAGTCACACAGCTAGTAATAGTCCGTGATCCTCACACCTAATCCAACTTCCACCTTAACCATCAATAGTCTCCCTCCCTTACAACAGGACAGAGTGACCGACAATAACCCATCTTACAACAGGACAGAGTGACCGACAATAACCCATCTGATGATTTTCTCCACCCCTTTGCTGAGTAGAATGGGCAGAACTGGCAGAGGTTTGGTTGGGTTTTCAAGATCCCACTAAGTGGCACAAAAGGACTACAAGGCAGCTGTTCTGTTCCAGCTGTTTGCTCCAGCTGTTCTGCTCCAGCAGTTTGCTCTAGCCAATGATTATCCATCACTCTTTGGATTCAAACTACAAGACTCCGCCTCAGTTTATAATTGTTCTTACAAGACTTGAGAGAAACCACTCTCCCCCACCTCCCCGCCCAACCTTCTGTAACACAAGCATTTAAATAATGTTTTCCTTTGTGGTATTAGAGATTAAACCCAGAATCTCTATTCTAACTATTTCTTTGTTGAATTTCTATATAATGTAGAACTTCTAAATAATATTTTGTTTTTGCCAGGCAGTGGTGGTGCATGCCTTTAATCCCACCACTCGGGAGGTAAAGGCAGGGGGATCTCTGTGAGTGTGAGGCCCAAATAGTCTACAGAGTGAGTTCCAGGACAGCTAAGGCTACAGAGAAACCCTGTCCCAAAAAGCAAAATAACAAAAACAAAAAGATGAATGCCCACCAAGCTAAAATGGTTTTTTTTAAAAAAAATAATTTCCTTATTGTATTTTATTTACTCTGGCGGGGTATTTATTTACTCTGCTCTAGTGTGGAGGCCAGAAGACAACTTCTAAGAGTCAGTTCTCTTCATCCATGGCTCTCAGGACTGAATTCAGGTCGTTACACTTGATGGGCAAGCACGTTTACCCACTGGGCCATCTTGCTAGCCAAAATGGTTTCAAGTGAAACTAAGACTAATTTTTCTTTTCATTGCTGAGAATCCACAGGGCTTTCTTTGTAGCTTTGTACATTGCTACAAAGCTGCTAGGCAACTCTACCACTGAGAGACATCCTCAACTCCAAACTAAGACTAACATTGTTGTTGTTAAAGATTTATTTATTTATTTATTTATTTATTTATTTATTTATTTATTTATTTATTTATTTATTTATTATGTACACAGAAGAGGGCACCAGATCTCATTACAGATGGTTGTGAGCCACCATGTGGGTGCTGGGAATTGAACTCAGGACCTCTGGAAGAGCAGCCAGTGCTCTTAACCTCTAAGCCATCTCTCCAACCCCCTAAGACTAACTTTGAAGTGGGTAAAGCATTGGCCACTCATGAGGACCTGAGTTTAAATCTCCAGAACCTAGATAATGCCAGGCATGGTAGTACACATCTGTAATCCCAGTGCTCCTGCAGCAAGGCGGAGTTGGAGATGGAACCCTAGAAGACTGTGGCTGTTGTAAGCAAAAGCAAATGAGATCTTGTTTCAAACAAGATGGAAGGCGAAGGAAGGACCAGCACCCAAGACTGTCCTCTGACCTCCACAGTCATCACGATATACACATACCCAAACAAACACCCATGCACGTGACACACACACACACACACACACACACACACACACACAGCCAGGTATGACAACATACATCTGTAACCCCAGCACTGGGGGCCAGTGACAGACACTCTTTGGTCAGCTCACTGGTCTAGCTGAACTAGTGAGCTCCATTTTCAGTGAAAGACCCTGTCTCAAAAAGGTAGAGCCAGGAATGGGCACATAACTTTAATCCCAGCACTCCAGAGGCAGAGGCAGGCGGATCTCTGAGTTTGAGGCCAGCCTGGGCTACAAAGCGAGGTCCAGGACACCCAGGATTACATAACACATAACAGACACCCTATCTAAAAAAAAAAAAAAAAGATGGAAAGTAACTGAGGAAGATCTGTGATGTTAGCCTCTGGCCTCCCATGAACAGGTACACACACACACACACACACACACACACACACACACACACACACACACACACACACACACACACACACACACACAAAATCAAACAAGAACCCATCACTTCCTTAAAACAAAGTGCAGTCTATTTACAAACTCCAAGTAAAAACATCCATTGTCAAACCAATATACACATATTAGCAACCATTCTCTCACCTTTCAAAGTCCATTATTGTCATCAAGTGGGTAGTGAGACACAAAGAATGTGTCGGTAATGCCAGCCACTTGAAAAATTTAATGCCAGGAAAGTTACTCTAACTTTAAAATTCTACAATGGGGCAGTGCACAGTGGTGCAGGCCTTTAATCCCAGCACTCGGGAGGCAGAGACTGGTGGATCTCTGTGAGTTTGAAGCTTGCCTAGTCTACATAGCAAGTGCCAGGCCAGCCAAGGCTACATAGTGAGACTCTGCCTCTAGATGATAGATAGATAGATAGATAGATAGATAGATAGATAGATAGATAGATAGATAGATAGATAGATAGATAGATTTATTAATAAG